CATCAGGCGGCGGCCACATAAGCCACGCAAGCCCTGCCATCTGGGAGACTTCTCCATGAGACTGAGCATTAGCTCGCCCTCTCATTTCTCCCACAGACAGCAGCATGTGACCGACCAGCCCCACAGGAGCACTGCACGGACCCTCTGCACTGGGAAGACGGAAGAGAGCACTCACGGCACCAGAGCACCTACCTGGACCCTTCTCCCTATCACCCACCACACCAATAAATCTACCCTCCGGGGTATTGATTGAGAGTTCCTTGTCGTGTGATTCTTCACCCCGTTACACTATGTATACACAATATGTATAAATGCAAAATGTAATTATATAGAAAATGTAGATGAAGTTTGTGGTATCCTTGAGCATGACCTGCTCTGCTCTTTACATGGAGATTGTTGACATACACATACTGTACAGTACAATGTCCTGTAGAGGGAACAGACAACAGACATAATGGACCCTATTTTACAAGACTGTGATGACGAGTTTAACGGTCATCAGCATCGTGAATCCTCGAAAGTTTTCATATTTGTATTTTTTTTTTTTAATGTATGTACATGTATAACACTATTCTTTGTATTACATTACCTTTGCATCAAATTACATAAAACTAGTTAACGCTAATGTGAGGGTGTTTCTAATGCAGCGTAGGGACGGTAAATTTGACATTGTTCTCTCTACTGACTGCCTTTATCAATCTCTCTCAATTTTTTTTCTTTTATTGAAAGTCATAACACTATCGTGGAGTTTTTCTTTTGCTATTTGAGCAAATGGGAATGCAAAAATATATATTTGTGGTACTCTCCCATTCACTGCTCTTTAAGTTAACCCAGCTATGACGACTTCCGCTGCCGAGAAACCCGGAAATGTGAAAAAGGTCCATCAGATTTTAATGAGTGGGAAGGAGGGAAAAAGCCATTTCTATCATTATTTACATAGTACATGTACAGTTAAATTTTTTGAATAAAGATTAAAGTAAGAGACAGGAAAGGCTTCAGTGGGGGCCTGGTGTCAAAACAGCATGATTTGTTAAATGATGTTCTATATTTTCCAGTGTTCTCCATTTTGCCCTCAGTGGGGGCCTGGTGGTTGCTGGTGCTCCCTTTGGGGACCCGTCAGGGATGACAAATTCTTCAGGGGACTTGGCAGGCACAGGTTCTCCCTGTGAGGAATCAGCAGGCACAGGTACTTCCTATGGCATCCAGCCAGGGACAGTGGTTATTATTATTATTAGTTCTTTATTTCAGACCCTTAGGTCCATATCATAAAAATAAGAGAAAAAGAAAAAAAAAGAAGAAAATTACATACAAATATGCATTTACATACAACGAGCACTATTTAGAAACATACACACTTGAATGCCAATGCTTCCAGAACAGGAAGGAATACCTTGTGTCACTTAATGTAGGATAATTTATGGCAATTATGATTGTATTTCTTGAATCACAGTCTACACATGAAACTATACATATAATTCCTTAACACAGCATGCAAAGTAGGAAAATCATTATATACAAACAATTGGCTTGCACTTATCCACCTTGGGAGCTTAAGCATAATTCTTAATGCATCATTAAATGCAACCTGAAGCTTTTTCATTTTAGCTTTACTAAAAATACACCATAAATGTGACATATAAAATGAAGTACAATAGGCTCTAAAAAGAGCTATTTTGACATCATCAGTACACATGTAGAATTTACGAGCCAACATATTTGCATGTTCGTATAACTTGCAGCACTGGCGCTGCATATCATCATCATCATTTAAATAATCTCTAATGATGTGACCCAGATATTTTATTTTATTTACCACCTTTAATACTTGGTCACCTAAATAAAAAGAGGTTAAATTTTGCTTACAATCCTCTCTGGTTTTAACAATCATAACCACACTCTTTTTAGTATTAAAATTAATATTATATTATCCGGAACCCTACATTTTGCCCTCAGTAGGGGCCTGTTGCTTACAGGTGCTTCTTTTGGGGACCTGTCAGTGATGAAGACTTCTTCAAGGGACCTGGCAGGCACAGGTGCTCCCTGTGGGGAATGTATGGACAGGCTCTTCCCAGCGGGGACTTGTGCTCCTTTTGGAGTCTTAAAGGGTTAGTTCACCCCAAAATTAAAATTCTGTCATTAATTACTCACCCTCATGTCGTTCCAAACCCGTAAGACCTTCGTTCATCTTCGGAACACAAATTAAGATATTTTTGATGAAATGTGAGAGCTCTCTGACCCTGCATAGTAATGTGTAAATGTGTAATGTGGCCAGGTCCAGAAACGTAGTAAGGACATCAGTAAAACAGTCCATGTGATATCAGTGGCTCAACTTCAAGCTACAAGAATACTCTTTGAGCGCAAAGAAAACAAAAATAACATAATTTATTTAACAATTCTTCTCCCCCAAGTTACGTCTTCCGCCATTTTGGAGAGTACCCAAGAGCGTAATCAGCATTGTTTATGTTCGGGGCAGAAAGCGTGCACATGAACGTAATCTGTGTAATCATTGTTGTTTACGCTTAGGGGAAAGCGTGCGTATGCATTGTGATACTCTCTAAAATGGCGGAAGACGTAACTCGGGGGAGAAGAATTGTTGAAAAAATTATGTTATTTTTGTTTTCTTTGCGCTCAAAAAGTATTCTCGTAGCTTCGCAAAACTGAAGTTGAGCCACTGATGTCACATGGACTGTTTTACCGATGTCCTTACTACGTTTCTGGACCTTGGAACATTACAGTTGCATGGCTGTCTATACAGGGTTTGAGAGCTCTCACATTTCATCAAAAATATCTTAATTTGTGTTCCGAAGATGAACGAAGGTCTTACGGGTTTGAAACGACATGAGGGTGAGTAATTAATGACATAATTTTCCTTTTGGGGTAAACTAACCCATTAAGGGCAAAAGTGTCAGATGCTGTCATATATTTTCCAATGTCCTCCATTTTCCTCTCAGTGGGGCCTGGTGGTCGCAGGTGCTGCCTGTGGTGACCTGTCAAAGATGAGTTCTCCCTTATGGCATCCCGGCAGACACAGGCTCTTCTGGCAGGTACCCGGCAGGCACTTGTGCTCCACTGGGGTTCTGGCAGGCACAAGTGTCTTTTAGGAGCCTTAAGAACAAAGGTGTCAAAATGGCATGCATTGTCAGTGTCCTTCATTTTCCCCTCAGTGGTCGCAGGTGCTGTCTGCAGTGACCTGTCAGAGACGAGTTCTCCCTCAGGGGACCTGGCAGGTGCAAGTGCTCCCTTTGAGGAAGTAACGGGCACAGGTTCTCCTCATGGCATTTTGGCATGCACAGGCTTTTCCGATGGGTACCCAGCAGACAATGGTGGTCCCTTTAGGCGCCTTAGGAGCAAAGGTGTCAAGACAGCATTCCCTGTCAAATGCTGTCTTATATTTCATGGGATCCTACGTTTTCCCCTGAGTGAGGGCCTGGTGGTCGCAGGCGCTCTCTTTAAGGACCCATCAAGGATGACCTCTTCCTCAGGGGACTTGGCAGGCACAGGTGCTCCCTGTGGGGAATCAGCAGGCTCAGGTATTTCCCATTGCATCCCGGCAGTCATAGGCTTCTCCCCCAGAGGAGAACTTTTTGGAGTCCCGTCTGGTGTCAGGATGGCATGCCTTGTCAGATGCTGCCTTATATTTTCTGGGATCCAACTG